GCAGGGCTCTCGACCAGGTGTGTGTGTAGGCTGCCGGCCTGTTGTGAACCTCTTGAAATGATTCGAGGGTCCATGTACCTTTTGGGGGTAGAAGAAAATCCATAGTTCTCATTAGTTTCCAACTTCTCAGAGAAGTTGCTTTCCCAGAAGAAGTTCAGACCCAAGTTCCAGAAGTGTCTGCAGTGTCCTCTGTACCCCCTCCCCCACCAAGCTCAAGGTTGGGGCACACCACGGGGACGGACAGGGTGGCCCTGGGTTCTCCTGCGAGGGGCCGGCTGGGAGCAGGTTGCTTTTGCTCTCCTGCACCCTTACTTCTTACTACCCACCGCTCCCCTGGGTGTCCTCTCCTGAGTTAGGAAAGCATGTGGAAACAGAAGAGAACAGGAGACGCCTAAGGCCTGAGGAGAGGGGAGGGAAGCTGACTGTGCTGGGGAGGAGCCCTCCAAGCCACGTCTGCCCACCCGTTTCATTAGTAACCCCGGGAGGTGCGTGGCCTCCCTGTATGCAGGGCTGAGATGGAGGCCCAGAAGCAGGGGGCCTCCTCACAAGAACAGCCTAGTTCAGCAGCGCCGCGACACAGACCCCCAGCCAGGCCCGTGACTGGGAAGGCCCTGCTCCCAGGCCGGATCCCGGACGGGCCGAGGCTGTCCTTACCGCGCTGACGTATAAGTGAAGTAGGAGGCTGGTGGGCCGGGCGGTGGGCTTCTTGCTGTGTCCTGGAGGCCCCCAAGCGGGTGGCCTGCCCTGGTTTGGCGGTGACCAAAGAATTAACATTCAGCACACCTGCTTGGCTTGGAGCTCCCTCAGCTGGGGCCTGGGTACATAGCATCTCGGGCTTTGCTTTCCGCCTGCTCTTTGCCATCCTGGGGATGGGCTTCCTTCACCTGGTGCTGCTCTCTGGGGGGCCCATCAGCTCTGCATCCTAACGCTTAATGTCACTTCCTTACTGACCCTGATACCGTCTGACTGGCTGCTGTCACTTTCCGAGGCCTGCTTTCTGGTCCCGAGTAGCCCACCCAGTGCTGGTTTGATCCCCGTGTCCGGTGGTGTAGAGTAGAACCCCGGATTGGCAGGACGTCGGCCACAGCTGCCCAGGAGCCTGACTGGGGGACCTCCGGTTGGTTTCCTCCCAAGCCATGGCCCCGAGGCAATCCTCAGACTGGCCACAGGGCTGCTAGAATGACTCTTGGATGGTGGAGCGGCCGTGGCCCTGGTTGAACTGCTGGTGACTGACACCAGGGCCAGCACTTGCAGGCCCACTGCCCCTCGGCTGAGAGCCTGGGGACAGGGAGGCCGTTGCTGTCACACTGCAGCACTTCCTGGGATCCATGTTTAAAAGGTCCCACTTTGCACAGTAAGCCCTGGCTGACTCACCAGAGCCCTCGCAGGTGCCACTGTGCTCTCCTCTCACCAGCCTCCTCTTGCGGCCCCGGCCATCCTGCAGCCTGCGATTCATGTGGGACTTGGCCGGGCGCTGCTCCTCAAGGCCTTCCTGGGGTTTTTTAGTCCTCGGGGTCTGTGGAAGAGCTCTTGTTCCTCACGGGGCGGCCTGGAGGCCTGCAGTGGGCTGGGATCTTGCCTAAACCCACCAGGACGGTCGGGCACAGAGGGGGCCTCCGCTGCCGACCAGCCTGAGCACCGCGAGCGCTTCCGGGCTTCCTGGCCTCTCCTGCCGCCACCCCAGCTTCCCACGCTCCCAGCCCACCCTCTCCTGCCGCTCCCAGCCGCGCCTGCACCACTGGCCTCAGGGCCGGACTGGGGCAGCTCTGCTCCTGGAGGAGACTCCAGGCTCCTGGGGAAGCACAGGAGAGTGGGATCCGGGTGCCTGAGAGCTCTGCTCTGGGTGTTGGGCCTTCCTGAGGAAGAATCCCTAAGAGAGCCACTTCTGGTCACCCTCCCTAGGGAAAGCTGGCCTCTGGGGTCTCAGGATGCGAGCCGTGTCCTCCCTTCTTCTCAGGGAGGAGATTTTAGTCTTCTGGGCTCAGCGGCCGGCCCTTGCCTGCTCCTCTCGACTCTGCCACTTGTCCAGAATCAGGGAGCACCCTCCCTGCGAGGCGACCTCAGTGCCTGCCTGGCGTGTTCAGGAGTACAGGCCCCTGGCCCAGTGACATGTGGGCACCCACACTGCTCATGACTCAGAGACTAGTAGTCTCGCTCCTTGGTGATCACCTTGGGTTTTCGTTTCTTTAATTCTCCAGATAATTTTGATTTACCATTATTTGATTTTTAGAAGCAGTCCTTTCCTGTGTATTCATTTTCCAGCCTTATTTTCTTTCAGGTCTTGCCCCTCTCCACCTTCTCCTGCTGTGTCGCTGTGACGTTACTCGCCCCTCCTCCGCCTGCTTCGCTCCCATCTCAGCTCCGTCTCCAGCCGTAGATGGCCTGACGATGCCGCCCGCCCTTTCACACGAAATCAACTTGCTTGTTTTTATTTTAATTTGGGATTTGATTCTTTTTACTGTTGGCAGAAACAATGTTAATTCATGGGCCTTTTTCTTGCTAAATTTTGGATGCCCTGGGTGGGGGCTGCATCATGGTCTCTGAGGAGCATGAGGACGGAGGCCGTGCCCTCCAAGGTGGTGGCTGCCTTTCCATCGTGTCTGTGGCTCGGGCAAGGATGCCGGGTGACGAGCTGTGATTGCCGAGTGTGTCAGCACAACAGACCACGCGGGGGCCTCCTCTGTGGGTGCAGTGTGGGGCAGAGGGCAAAGACAGGCCTGGCAGCAGGAAGGGCCTTGCCTGTGAGCGGCTGCCAGCCCTGCGCAGCCCACCCTCCACGGTGGTGGCAGAGGGAGCAGGGTGTCAGCAGTGAGCTGGCCGAGCAAGTGGTATGCACGGCCGATGCCCTGCAGGAGGGTGGCCCCGGGAAGCTGGGGTGGGCCAGGCGTGGGGCGTCGGCTGAGGCCATGTGTGTCTCGACCACGCCCACCCCCAGCTGCGGGGGACCCTGTCTCCCTCTGAGCAGCCTCATGCCCTCTTTTGCAGGAGGTCCCAGGTCATTGAGAAGTTTGAGGCCCTGGACATCGAGAAGGCAGAGCACATGGAGACCAACTCGTCGGCTGGGTCCTCACCATCCAGTGACACACGCCAGGGCCGCAGCGAGAAGAGGGTGCCCCCCAGGAAGCGGGTGAGCGTTCGGGCTCCCGAGACCCTTGTGCGCCTGGATGCGCTTCCGCGGGCTTCCTGCCCCCGTTTCTCCTTACTTCCGTGTCTCATCTCCAATGAGTGACTTTCTTAAGGGCGAGGCCTTTCTTGTGCATCTTCTGCTCAGAACTCTGTGCGTCTCCGCTGAGGGCCGCTCTAACAAGCTCTCCATCCCAGGGTGTCAGAGCCTCTCTCTTCTTCTCTGGGGCCTTCCGGCCTCGAGGCTGAATACCTTCCTCCTGTCTTCCGGGCAGTGGCCACGGCCCGCATCTCTGCTCCGTCTGCCAGGTGGATTCCACTTCTGAATCCCTCCTCTCCTGGGCTGCCCGCCGGGTCCGACCTTCATCTTACTCCCTGCTTCTCTCTGGGCTCGGAGGTGCCCTGCTGCTTTCTGCACAGGGCCCAGCGTCTTCCCTCTGTGACCCTATGAGGCCGGGGGAGATGGGGACCGGGAGAGTGATGCGGCTGGTGCCTCTGAAGAGAAGGCTGCTCTGATCCTCAGGGAGGCTCCAAGCCCACCGCGGGCCCTGTCTGCACTCTGGCAGAGGGGCCGAGGGAGCCCAGACAGCAGCCTGGCTGCCGAGGGGCTGGCTGTACTGACCGGGGCTGCTCTCTGCCACAGGACCTCCCCAGCGATGCTCCTCTCCCGGAAGCCTCGGCCTCCCCACTGTCTCCACACCGAAGAGCCAAGTCCCTGGATAGGAGGTCCACGGAGTCCTCCCTGACGGTGAGCCCAGGCACCCGTGCTCCGAGGGCTGGAGGCGCTGCTCCCGCCGCTTCTGTCACCTGGGCTCTCTGTCTGCTTCTCCCGTGCCTCTGCTGGCTGTCCCCACTCTGCCCCCTCTCTGGGCTACGTGGCCATCCTGAGCTCTGAGGTCCCCAGGGGAGGAGGCCACCTGGCCAGGGCAGCGGAATTCTGGCTCCAGGGGCCCAGAGCCACAGCTGGGACCTTCTGTTCTTCTTGTTGGAGTGTTGGTTTGGGGACATCTTGGAGGCAGGAGCCCCCTCTTGCTCAACGCTTGTGTTGTTTGTGGGGTCTCCAGAGGGAGTGAGGCCTCTGCTCCAGGGCACAGGAGCCATGGTCAGATGAGTCCAGTGGGACTGTCCCTCCCTCAGGGAGCCCTGTGTGCAAGTCAGAGCCCCGGGAGTGAGGACAGCTGCTCTCCTGGGCTCCTCCGCTTTGTCCTTGGCCTTCTGAGGAGCCCGGAGCTGGTGCTGCTCATCCCCAGGCCAGGGCAGCAGATCAGTTTCTGTCCTGGAGGAAACTGAGCTTCCCTTGAGTCTGGGTTTCGCTTGAGGGCTGGGAGCATAGGTTCCCAGAACACGTGTGGCTGATTGTGGTCCTGACATGTGGCACCTGTCCTCGCGAACTCCCTCCCAGTCCTTGGGACGTGAGAAGACGTCCCAGCCCGTTTCTGGTCAGGATGGCGATAGCAAAGTGGAGGGCACGTGGGCTGAAGGTAAGGGCGGCCCACGTCTCTTTGCACACTGGCCTTGCCGCCACCAGGTGTGTGGCACAGCCAGGCTCAGGTGGGCCACGGGGGCCCTGAAGGGGTTCTCAGGCTGCTCCCCAGGCCCTGGTGCGCAGGGCTCAGCGGGACCGGCAGGGACGTTGCCCTCTTCAGGGCCGGCTGTCCTGGTCCTGCTTCTTGTAGGGAGATGGAGACCCAGATGCGTCCTGACAGGTCAGTGGCCTGCGGGTCTTGGCAGGTTTACTGCTGCGTCTTGCTCCGCGCCAGGTGCTGTCTCTGCTCAGTCTTCTGCTCTCAGTCTTCCTGTGGCTTCTCCGAGAGCAGCTCAGCCCTGCTCTCAGCCATCGTCGCACATCTTCCCGTCCGCGTGAACACGGAGCGCCTCTGTCTGGGCTGCTCTTCTCTGCTGCCCAGGCGGCCCTACAGATGGATCAGGGGCTTCTCAGAGCTGTGCTGCTCGCAGGGCAGCCCCCTACATCTGCCGAGCCCGTGTCTCCCTCAAAGATGCGTGCAGTGGAGGGTCCCCAGAGAGCGCCTGCCAGGGCTGAGGCCACGCGGGCATATCTGGCAGGTGGAGAAGCCCCCTTTCCAGGTGCCACCTCCTCTGGAGAGAAATGCCTGCCTCATCAGTCAGCCTTTGCCCACAGCTGGGACACCACAGCACTTTCCTCTGAACTGCTGTTTTTCCTCCCTTTCTTAGCCCGACCTGCTGAATTTCAAGAAAGGCTGGCTGACCAAACAGTATGAGGATGGCCAGGTGAGTGTCAGGGCCTGCTGTGCCCCTGAGGTGCCAGGAAGCAGGTGTGAGGGCCAGCTGGCCTTGTCCCCAGTGGGTGCGTGAGCACCGGCTCGGCCCCCACCTCCAGCTCAGCCCCTGTGGCCGAGACCCCATCTTCTCAGAGACGGGGAGGCATGGTAGGGGGTGGGGGCTGCCGGGAGTACCCACCAGACCTGCCCACGGCCAGTGTGACAGCCAGGTCTCCACACCCTGTGGGGGCCTCAGCCGGGGCCTGGTTCCCCACCTGCTGGTCTCTTAATTGCTGCGTGGCCGCCGCAGGCCTAAGAGGAGCCAGGAGACTCGAGCGGGAAGAGCAAGCCCCTCGCAGCTGCTTGGGGCCGGGAGGCCAGGCCTCCACGGAGGCGCGAAGAGGAGCCGGCCGGGTCCGACTGAGAGGCCCCAGACCCCACGTGCCCGAGCTCCCCTCCCTGCCTCCTGAGCGACTGTGTTGAAATGCCCTCTTCACTCTCCTCTGTGTCAACCCCCTCGGCCTTGCCTGAAGACTCAAGCCCCCTCCTTGCTACTCACAGTGAAGACTGGGGAGTCTGGCTGGTTGGTTTGCTCCTGCTGGCCGCAGGTGGGCACGCCCTTCTGGTTAGCCAGGGGGTGGCTGTGGCTCACAGGTGGCCATCTCTCAGCTCTGGGGCCCCCGCCCCTGTCTGCAGCCTCCGGAGTTGAGGCTGAGACTCCAAAGCACTGCTCACCAGCCACAGCTCCGTGGGGTGGAGAGCCCACGGCCTGCAGCCCACTCTGGCTCTCCATGCTGCCTTGTCACTGGGGAGAGGTCATGTGTGCATGGCTGCCCACGGCCTGAGCAGAGTCCCATGTATGTCTGCTACCTGCAGTGGGGTGCCCGCCCTCTGCTTTACCTGTGCTCAGGGAGGTGCCCCAGGACTCTGGCTGTGGTTGCCCCAGAGCAGGAAGTGTGAGAGTCCAGTCTTGATCTTCCTTCTCTTGTAGTGGAAGAAACACTGGTTTGTGCTTGCTGATCACAGCCTGAGACACTACAGGGATTCCGTAGCTGAGGAGGTGAGCATCTCAGCTGTGCTCCTCTTGTGGAGACAGCCGCGGGTCCCCACGGCCCTGGGAGCCACCGCTGCTCTGGGGCCCAGGTCCTCTTCTGTCTGCCAGCTGGTGTCCATTGGGCCATCCTGGGCTCCCCGGTCCGGGTCTGGTGTTCCTGGGTCAGGTTCCTGCTGGAACACTGGGCTCTCTGGGCCCTGCCTTAGGCTCCTGGGTGCAGGGAGTCTTGGTGGCTTTTCTTTGAAAAACACTGAAAGATGTCTTATTTTAAAGCTCAGGATAAGCAGTTTTGCTTTTTCTGCAAGGAAGTTTTGTGCTGATTTGAGTCTTTCAAAGAACTGAACTAAATCTTGTCCCTTGTCTTCTGGACAAGGAAGGGGGTATGACAGGTAAGCTCAGCTGGCCCAGGGGAGAGTCCTGATTCCACAGTCGAAGACCAACCAGAGGGGCTCTTTTGTCTTTACGTACAAGAAAAATGCATTTCTCTTAAGCAGTCTGGCTGGCCTGTTTTTGTCCCTTTCCCCTCACTCCACCCCAGGAGCCCTGCAGTGACACCCCCGTCAGAAGGGAGTTCTGTGTCCCACACGTGTCGTTCCTGCACTTCTGTAACAGCAGAACCTAGATGTCTAGCACTGGGGTGCTGGTTATGCGTGTCTGCATAACCTGAGCCCCCAAAACTAAGTTCTTTCCCGACTGCCATGGAAGGGTGTTACTGATACAAGGTCGACGCAGGCTAGTGTGGGTGCCAGGACCCCGGTGGTGCCTGAAATCCGGGACTGCACAAGCATGTGTAAGTGTCCGGTTGTTCTCAGAGCGTGGTCTCCGGGGCCCTGGAAGCCCTTCCAGGGTTTCTTATAACAGGAGTTTTGTTATAAACCTGCGGTGCCATTTCCTTTTCCTGCTGTCTGGGCGTGTGCGTGCACGGCTGGTGCCTCAGTCTGGTCAGGCTATAGGAGCGGATGGCCGGCCGCCACGTGTCCTTTGCTGCCACACACTTACGATGCTGAAGAAAGGGCCTTGACAGAACAGTGGAAGTACTAATTTTATGAAGTCTCAACCCTTGAATACCCATCTTTGTAACATCCTGTGTTTTAAAACGGGAAGTTGGCCAAAGGCACACTTGCTGCGCGTCAGGGTGCCGGCCATCTTGCGGGGAAGCGCTTGCCCACCGCCTGCGCCACCCAAGCCAGAGGCCTCTCCCTGAGATGCAGTAGGCCTGTCTCTGCTTGAGAGACAACGGACAGGTAGACCACACTCGGTTCGGGGGCTTGGCAGACATTTCCTGAAATGAACCAAGTGAGTCTCTCCTTCAAGGAAGGCGACTGACAGCTTGTCGTCAGTGGTACAGTTTGAGCTTTCAGGCAAAACTGGGGCTTTGGAGACTCGTGTTCACCATCGTGAACTTGAGAGCTTCCTTTGTGTCCACTCTCCTGACGGGAGGCGGTGCCGACAGCAAGCACAGCGTTTGACCCTGTACCGTGAGGTGTCACGTCTGGGAGACACGCCCAAGTCGGTATCTTCCAGGTGACAGGGCGCCACAGAACCACTTGTGGGCAGAAGATCCGTGCAAAGAGCAGACTTCGCTGTAATAGGGTACAGAAAGTTCCTGGATTTCAGATTCCACTTTGTAGTTCACCTTCAAGAAACTGCCAGTTGCCCAGCCACAGTTGTCTGAAAAGACATAAAACGCACCTCCCCTCCCCAGCCCGGTCTGTGTGAGGCTGATGGTCCTACACGTCAGCCAGAGCAGCGCAGCCAACAGACCGGGTGCAGCAGCAACTGAGGACGCAGCTGTCCTCTGGAGCTGCGCGTTGAAGAGAGTTGCAAACATTTCTTGCTGGTTTTTTTAAGAATATTTTTTATTAAAAAATGAAACGGGTTTGTTTCTTAAATGAGTGAATAAGTATGTTTCCTTTTTTCAATTTTTGCAGCTAATTTCTCGTTAGGCAGATCATCAACAGATAAACACCACCTAAATGAGCCCTTTGGGGGCCTCAGGTTTTAGGAGCATAAAGGAGTTCTGAGAACCATGGTGTCTCGGGAGGACGTGCAGGGAATGGCGGCTCTGGTCCTGGGTGGTGCAGGGCAGGGAGCAGCCATGCCCACTCAGCACACTCACAAGGCACTGGCCCTTACTTTCTGAATCGCTGAGATCCTCTCACCCTCTCTGCAGGCGGCTGACCTGGACGGGGAGATCGACTTGTCCACGTGTTACGACGTCACTGAGTATCCGGTGCAGAGGAACTATGGCTTTCAGATCCATGTAAGCTATGGTGGGGCCTGGAGGCAGGCGGGGGGCAGGGGGCTGCGGGCCTAAGGGGCCGGCATCTTTCTCCAAGGACATGCTGTCCCGGTCCAGGGACCCTTTGGGCAGGCCTTTCCGCCAGTGCTGGTGATGCGCTCTGTCCCTCTCTGTCCTGGCGCTCCTGACCCCCACTCATCTGTGTGAACTGAACACAGATGAGACAGTAGCATTTTTTTCTCAAGACTGTCTGGAAGCCTTTTGTTTCTGAAGGTTCTTTTCTTTTTCTCCCTTTTAAATGCTGGAGTTTGGGACAGTTGGAAGGACATGGGATGGGGGGGAATAAGAGCAAAACTGTCCGTTACATCTCAGAATGCTAGGTTTTCAATCCACTTCTTTCCTTTATTCGTTCATTCATCCACCCACTCCTACGTCTTTTTTCCGACAGTCTTGTGAAGGACTCAGAGGGGTAAGGCATTGCCCCGTCCTCAAAAAATGATTGGACAGATGGGACGGTTCTCACTGGCCATTTCATCAAAGCAGGTGGCTTGAGGTCAGGGCACAGGCCCCTAGCCACCGACCGTGTCTGTCCTCACCCTGACGCCAGCAGCAAGTTTGGCGGGGGGTGCCTCCAACCACCCTCAGGTTCCATAATTAGTCAGAAAGGCTCACAGAACACAGAGACATGGCACTCTGCACTGCATCTCTACTCCAGCCAGAGGACACGTGCGGAATCGGACTGAAGAGGGGCCCTACACGTGAAGCTTCCTGTCCTCAGGGACGTGTGTGTCCCTCTGGGCTCTGACATGTGGTGACACAGAGCTTCCAGCCTGGGCCCAAGCCTCTGTGTCCAGAGTTTTCACCAAGAATTCATAGCTGATTGAGTTTCCATCCACCTGGTGGAACGCAGTCTCCCGGATTCCCCTGGAGGCTGGCTGCCTGCCTGTGGCCAGAGCCCCGCCCTCACTCCAGGGCTGGTCTTTCTGGTCTGGCCAGCACCAGCTCTGAGTGTCAGGTGTTCAGAGGTTACTTCCCAGGAGCTGGGACAGAGGCCAGACCTCTCTCTGGGGAAAGCTAATTCCTCCCTCATCAGAGCCTTAGCAGCGTGGTAGGACCCAGCAGCGTGTCCTTTACCAGAGCCGTGTCTCCAGGTTTTTGGCCCAAAACTCAGTTGTATATCTGGACGCGGCGTAGGTCAAACACATGGGAATAAGCAGTGTCTATCACACTTAGAGGAGACAAGCTCAGACCTGAAGGCCAGTGAGTCTATTAAAAAGAGAAATCTGGCTCCTAGACCTCTGGTAGGGCACCCTAGACCCCCTAGACATCTGTGTAGGGCACCAGGTCAGAGCTGGAGGCAGCACCGATCTTGGTGGCCCCTGCGGCCCGCTGCCACGCCCTCCTGCCCCTTGTCCCTGAGGAGGGGTGGACGCATGTGCCCAGTGACCCAGGCCTCAGCCTTTTCTGCAGACAGCAGTGGGGACAGTGCCAGTTCTGGCTTTTTGGACCCCTTGCTGGGTGCCCCTCGCTCACCCCCACCTCCCCATCTTGGAGAGCAGGGGTCTCTGGGCAGGGCCTGGGGGTATGAGTTTGCCCCACCCCCGAGCAGGTCACAACTTAATTGTGCTGGGATCACTTTCTGCGCCAGGAGGCCCTGGCCCGGGCCACGCAGGTCCCGGCTTGCTGTCTGAGAACTCGCCTGCTCTCCCGGTGAGGGACAGGCATTTCTGAGTCACCTGTGCTCCCTTGACTGATCTCACCCATCAGCCTGACTCCTCTCCACTTTACCTTGGATGGGGGGCAGGGAGCTTATCCCACGTTCTGGTACTTTTCCATGAGCCCCGTGGACCGAGAGTTCTAAGTAGAGATCGTGCTCAGCATGAGAGGGACTCAGCTGCGTCACTAGGGAGCTTTAGGATCTTGAGTGACAGGACTGTCCCTGGCCCGGCCACCAGACTTAGTGGCACCTGCCGGGGAGCTGCTGCAGAAGCCAGTGGGGACAGCACCAGGGAGGCCTGAGCGTGGAGTCAGGAGTCGGTCTTGTCCTGAGGTTGTGGGAAGCGTGGGGCGTGGAGCCATCTGTGTGTTAGTGAGGTGCGTCCAGCAGGGTGTGCAGGTTGGTTAGGAAGGAGGCAGAGGTGGAGGCAGGAGACCAGGTGCCTGGCGGATGGCAGGGGCCAGGACCGACAGGAGCAGCTGGGAGGCTATGGAGGAAGAGCACGCAGGTCCTTCCCTGGACAAGGTCGGGAGGTGTGGGGCAGGTGAGGGCTTGAGCCCCGGAGCCAGGCGAGCTACGTGTGCAAGTCTGACAGCAGAGGCAGCATCACAGACGTGGAGCCTGTGGGGTCCTGGCAGCACTGTGTGTGAGGCCGAGATGGCTCTCAAAACGTTAGATAGCCGCCACGGGTGTGGACCTCAGGTTGGGAAAAAACTTCTGGGGGTGAGAGGTGAGGTCACGGGAGACGACGGCTGAGATCAGACTCCACAAACAGGGCACTCGGGAGTGCTCACAAGGGGCGGGTGCTTCCGAGAGCCTGGAGGCCGGGCCCCAAGCCTCAGCCTCCTTTGAGAGGGACCCCACAGATGAGTGGAGATGTGGGCTGGGGGCCGCCCTGCAGGCGTGCGGCGGGGCCCGGGCGGAGGCTCTCTTGTGTCTTCCTGTCCCGCACCATCTTGCCCATCCCGTCTTCCTGTCAGCTGATTTGCAGGCGTGGTGAAAGGGTCCATTTATGAGGAGCCCGAGCAGCCTGAGAGCAGTTCTGACACCCTCACTTCTGTAAGACGAGCCCTGTGGGTGCAGGGTGGGGAGCATGTGCCACCCCCACCGCATTGCCATCCTGCCTCGACTCTGGAGGCGCTGCGCGCAGCAGCTCAGGGCTACAGGGACTGTGTCCCCAGGCCACTCGTCCCCACTGGCCACGCCGCCCCCTCCTGTCTGCGCTCCACTCCCTAGGCCATTCAGAAGCCGTCCCACCAGCTCAGCCAGGTCGGGGGTGGTCTAGGGACCGTCCTAGAAACGACTCCCCCCTCCTGGTCCCGTCAGTGGCGCATTGTGCGCTTTGACCAGTCACTTGTCACTTCAGCCACCCTCTGTGCTCTCATCACCTGGACAGCTGCCCAGCAGGTCCAGGAGGTCTCCCGGCCTCTTCTCAGCCCTACGGACACAGCCCCCATCAGTCCCTGCTGCTGCTGAGCCTCGGGCCTGCCTCTGTCCTCTCCCTGGTCACCCCACAGGCCTGGTGTATGGCCACATGGCGTCCCCCCCCCAACCTGGGTCATGCACCCTCTCCCCATCTACCTGCCAGCCCCCTCAGCCTACAAAGCCTGCTCCGCCTCATGCATGTAGCTGCCTTCCCACTACTCCTCACACACGCCTTCTCCCAGTCCAGGCGCTCCTTAAAGAGCTGGGAGCATCTTGATGCTGGACATTGTAGGCTCCCAGTAAACACCAGCTGCGTCTGGCAGAAGGAGATGCCACACCCAGGGCAGCAGACGGGCATCTGTGATTTTGCTCCAGCTCTTGTCTATCCCGCGTGGGGCACACAGAGCGCCCCCAGGGCAGCCACTGGGCCGCAGTCCTCCCTGCGGGACTTACTCTCGCGGGGAGCGGTGATGGCACTGCTAACGCTCCGTCTTTTGTGCAGACAAAGGAGGGCACCTTCACCCTCTCTGCTATGACATCTGGAATCCGGCGGAACTGGATCCAGACCATCATGAAGCATGTCCACCCGACTTCCGCCCCGGATGTGACCAGGTGAGCCCCATCCTCCACATCCCACTCACTCCCCACTTGGCTTCTTGGTTTCCTGCCTCAGGTGAGCCTTCCCGCTCCAGGCCTGGCAGGTGCAGGGGCGCCTGTCAGCCGTCAGCACGAGTGTGGCGGCCGGTATCTCCCTTGGGCCTGGCCTGGACCCTCTGGCAGCTGCACTCGGGTTGGGTGAGGGTGGCTCTGGACGTGCATTCCCAGGCTGCCACGGCATTTCCTTGTTTGGTCTCGTTGGATTTCCGTGCAACCGGGAATAGCTTCTCTTTGGAACTCTTGGTGCTGGAGGCCACGTTGGGAAACTGTCCTTGCCCCGTGTGGTAACGTCCGTGGTCGGTGAACCTCATGATGGCTGGACAGCGTTCAATTTAATAGCAAGAGACGCCCCAGGGTGTGATGCCCAGGAGGCTGCCATCCTCACCCCACAGCTTCAGTACCGCCTGTTCAGAGAGCCTGTCATTTAGGTGTCTCTGTCCTGTGGTTTGAATGCTGCTCAGGGGCAGGTCCTGTGTTAAAGGCTGCACCCAGGGTGTGTCCCTGGTGCCCACTGGGTGTCCTCAGCCTGGGCAGCTGCAGCCGCGTCACACCTTTGTCAGGTCCTTGCTGGTGATGCTGCAGCTCTTTGAACAGAAAGGCAGGAGGGGACTGAAGGTGGCTCTTCCCGTTGGTCCCCCGTCCCGTGCTGTCTGCAGGCGTCCTTTGTTCACGCCTTCATCTACTGAAGGGGCAGGACACGTGGTCATTCCTGGGACAGGGCCAGCAGGTGCAGAGGCCAAGGGTCTTTCTGAGCACGTGGGGGACGCCCTGTGTGGCAGGTCAGGGTCCTGCTGGGGAAGGAACACTAACGGCCTCGGGGGTCGCAGGCCGTGCGTGTGTGCATGCGTGTGAGACGGACGCACTTGGGCACATGCGGCTCAGGAGAAGCACCTCCCTTCTACGTCGGGGCTGCAGCCCACAGGGACAGGCACCATGTGCATTTGTGTGCACGCGTGTGTGTGAGGAGACAGACTTGGCGGCATCTTCCTGACAAGAACTGACTCCCAAAATCCACACGTCTCCAAGTCGGTGTCCCTGCCTCACCCAGTTTGTTCCCTGAGCTTTTTTCACAGTTGGGGGAGAAGATGGGTTTTCTCGTGCGCGCTGGAGACAGGTGCACAGGCCAGAGGGCCTGGCTTTGAGCATCTGTGGACGCTGTGGGCGCCCTCGTCCTCGGGCGCCTCTTCACAGGCTCCCTTCTCTTTTGCCCTCTTTCCATGAGTGTTCCCTGGAGCCCCCAGCCCCGGCCCCTTGCAACCTCAGGGGGCTTCTGAGCCTGTTCTGAGCACTTAGGCGGGACCAGAGGCCACTCTGCTTAGGGTGGGACCTCAGGGTCTGGTCCCTGGAGCCCAGAAATGTCTGTCTCTGACCGCCACGGCCAGGACCCCACACCACCCGCCCAGGAAGCTCTGCCCTGGGGCAGGTGGAGGTGCCCTCCAGCATCCCCACAACCTGCCTCCTGCACCGAATGGGTTGCTAAGTTCCTGGGGCTGGGCTCACAGGTGCTACCTGGGCCATCCAGCTCACCTGCCCGCATGCAGTCCCAGGCCTGTCACTCCGATCCATCCGTCACAACAGCCACCAGAGTGTTTTTCTTAAAACATAGGTCTGACCACATTATTTCCCTGCTTGAGCCTTCCGAGGGGAGTGGCTGGCCTGGTCTGTTCTGTCACCACTGCTCAGTGCACAGGAGCTGCAGGGCCACCTCCCACTCACCCTCCTTCAGGCAGCGGCCATGCCTGAATGGGGTGGGGGCACCCGGGCTCCCTCGTCCCCATGACAGGCCATTGTGACACTCCCCTCAGCGTCTTTCCCATTACGGGAGGCACCTCAGAGGTGGGCCACCCGTGGCTCTTTCCTGCTGTTGGGCTCCCTCCAAGGGTGTTGGTGGGTAGAGGTGGGGTCCCTCCCCTTCCCAGCTGAGTAGAAAGGACATGGCGAAAGCAGGGAGCTGGGCCCGCTGCCGGCGGGCATCTGTCCCCTGACAGGCTGTCTGCCCCTGCCCAGCTCATTGCCACAGGAGAAGCACCGGAGCAGCCCCCCTGTGGAGACCCACCCGAGGCCACGGGAGGAACAGGAGAGCGAGCTCGCAGAGCCAGACCCCGAGCAGAAGAGGAGCCGGGCTCGGGAGAGGAGGCGGGAAGGGCGCTCCAAGACCTTCGACTGGGCCGAGTTCCGCCCCATCCAGCAGGCCCTGGCCCAGGAGAGGGCTGGTGCCTCGGGGCCCACCGACCCCCACCCCGAGGCAGAGCCGGGTGAGCTGGAGCGGGAGCGTGCACGGCGGCGAGAGGAACGCCGGAAGCGCTTTGGGGCCCTTGACATGGCCGATGGGCCAGGCACCGACGAAGCAGCCTTGCGCATGGAGGTTGATCGGGGCCCGGGGCCGCCCGCGACCGCTGACCTCAGGACACAGAATGTGCACGTGGAGATTGAGCAGCGGTGGCATCAGGTGGAGACCACCCCTCTCCGGGAAGAAAAGCAGGTGCCCATTGCCCCCCTGCACCTGTCCTCCGAGGACGGAAGTGACCGGCTCTCCACTCACGACCTAACTTCCCTGCTGGAGAAGGAGGTAATGGCCAGGGCCGTCACGGACGGGTGAGCTCTGGGCAGCAACCAGCAACCCCCCCAGCACCCACTGTGCCTAACACTGGGACAGTCCCCCT